CAATGAAAGATGCCTTTGAAAAACAATACGTAGAGTACAGTGAAGAGAACCAAAACCATCAAGAATCGGCTTTACAACTACAAACTGAAAACACATTATTAAGTAGGAATGTTCAAAAGATGGAAGAAGAAATCGAGAGTCTGCAATCCAAATTAAAAAGTCTTGAAGAAAGCGAAGAAAAACATTTGACAGAGTATAAGAAAGTTAGTTTGGTGATGAAGGGAAAAGATGCTAAATTCAAGAAGCTTGAAGACATGCTGAAGAAAAAAGAGGAAGAGTTGGAAATCACTCGTGTTCAATTACAGGAAGTCAGAAAAGTATATGAGAATGTCGTCGAGAAAGAGGAAACTAGTGCTCAAGAAATTCTGAAATTACAAAAACTTGGAAAAGGAAAGGAGGCAAAGGCCAAGAAGTTTGAACATGTGATAACCAAACAGGAAAAAATTATTGCTGATAAAGAAACAGATGCTGTGATCCTCCAAGGAAGAATTTCAGAATTAAATATTCAGTTGGAAAGTCTTGGTGCTGCAGAAATAGATTTAAGACGTAATTTTGAAGATAGTTTGAAATCAGTGGAAGAACTGAAAGAAAAATGTAAGGATATGGAACACAATCAAATTGATCTAAATCAAGCTCTACATCAGAAGGAAGAAGAAATTGAAAATCTGAAGGCAGAATTGAAATTTAGTAAAGAAACTTATAATATATTGCTTTCAGAGAAAGAAGAAATTGAAAAACAATGTCATGAAATCAGAGATGCTCTAATGCAGGCTGAAGAAAAACTGCATGAAGCTGAAAAAGAAGTTGAACGATTGTCTGAAGAAATCCACAAAGTTAAGAAAGATAAAGACGCCATTGTTTTTGAGGTTGAGAAAATTAAAAAGGTAGGAAAAGGAAAACTGTCAAAACTTACAAAATTTCAAGAAGTAGTAGAAAAGCAAGAGAGTATTTTATCAGAAAAGGAAACTGATTTACTTTTAATGAAAGAACGAATCAATGATTTGTCTGAAAAACTTGGACAGAAAGAAGAAGAAGTAGAATTACTGCAGGGAGAGAGAGAGAGAATGAGTCAGTGGGAGGAGCTTTGTAAACAGCATGAATTGCACATAGGAGATATGGAGCAAGATCTGAGAGATAAAAACAGAGAGATTTTAGATGAAAGTAATTCCAGCAAAAGGAAAATGTTGAGCTTGGAAGAGAAATGTTCTGCACTTGAAAATACTATTGAATTTTTGCAACGTCAAGAGAAAGATATGGAGCATCAAATACAGTCCCTTACTGCCTCTGCGTCAGAGGCTGATTATTGGAAAAGCAGATGTCAGAAACTTGAAAATGGCAGCGAATCTCAGGTTAAAGCCATGCCTGTCGTTAGTGACCTCATTGAAAAACAAGAATCAATACTAACGTTAAGTAGCGACTCTGTGATCCAAGAAGCACATTCTGAAACGAATGATTCCCAGGTTGACGAACAAGCTCCCAAACAGCTTAAGTCATTATTAGAAGAAAAACAAACTTTAATTCTTTCAATGCAAGATAATCACCAAAAAGAACTTGAAGCTTTAAATGCCAAATTATCCAAGATGAAAACGCTATGTAAAGCCAAAGATGCCAAACTTGCCAAACTGCAGAATGCAACCAAAGATGAAAATAAAGGTGATGAAAGTGGAAGTAGCACAACAAGAGAAAGTATAGAAAATCTTTCGTTAAACTCCAGTCTTATTGATAATGAATGGAAAGAGAGAATAATGCATTCTGAAGTCGTTATGCAGCTTGAAAGAGAAATAGAAGATTTAAAAGATGTCATTCAGTCACGAGATGAGGAAGTTGTTGACGGAAGGAATTTTGCTGTAAGTCAACAGGAAGAAATGCAATCATTAAGAGAATTTCTTCATGCGAAAGATGAAGAAATTTATGATTTGAAAAATAGGATTTATGGATGGGAGGATTGGTATGAAAAAGAATTTAGGGACACATTGTCCTCATTGCAATCTATGGAAGATTTAGTTGTGGAAAAAGACACTGTTATTGCAAATCTAAAGGAAGAACTAGAATCTTTTAAAGACACATCAGCACATGAAAACCTTACAGCTTCTGAGATTAAAGAAAGTGAACAAAAATCTCTTCAACAAGAATTAGCTAAGTTAAAGAAATTATGCAAAGGGAAGGAAACAAAAATTAAACAGCTAGAAAAAGTAAAGAAAGAATTAGAGGAAAAAACAAAGAAGTCCGAACAAGAGCCGACACTTGTGCAGAGCTCTCCTCAAATGGAATGGCGTCAGCTTCTAGAAGATAGCCAAGATGAAAACCAGAAGTTGCATCAACATATAGAAATGCTAAATTCTGAACATATCCAAAGAGTAAAAGATTTTGAATCTGTGTTAAGCGAAGAAACTAATCAAATTCTAGCTCTGAAAGAAAGGTACATAGAGTTAGAAAATAAGTGTGTAAAATTGGAGGAATCTTCAAACTTAATAGCTATTGAACTCAATATGTTCAAAAAAGAAGTTTTTGAAGTGATAAGAGAAGACCAGGAATTTGTTTATCATGAAGCTTTAGAATCGGCTAGTAGTCCAGTGGCAATCCTATCAATGCTTCGTAAAGAATTTTCCCAACTTCGCCAATCCTTTGAAGAAAACGTTGCAAATCTTAAAGACAAAGAATCGCAAGTTTCGTCCCTGCAAGAAATTAATGACAAAAATGTGCAGAAAATACTGTATTTGGAGGACAAGTTACAGTCTTTAGAAGAAATGAGCAACACTCATTTAAAGTGCTTAGAAGAAAAGGAAGAAACCATTAGAAATTTCAGTACCCAACTGAAGACTGTACAGACTGGTAACGCTGCACATCAGACACAAACAATTCAAGATTTGGGGAATCAGATCACACGTTTGAAAGATAATTTATCTCGTCAAGGAAATGAAATGCAAAATATACAGATGCTCTATAATAGCCAAAGTGAGCAATTGGAAGAAACACTTAGAGCATTAGATGAAGCTAACAACGTCAGGAGTACAAAAATGGAGGAACAAGATTTGGCTATTACACATTTAAGAAAACGTTTGCAGGAAGAGGAGGAGAAGAATAAAGAGAATCAGCAGATTATGCTCGAATTACAGCAAACAGTGCAAAGTCTAAATCAAGCCAATCAGGCATACCAGTACTATTATCAAGAAAAGGAAAATGAACTTCATGGTCTGAATCAGAGATGTGCTGAAATGCAAACATATTGTAATCAGCAGGATGATAAAATCAGTGCACTAGAAGATAAATGTAAAAGTGTTTTATTGGAGAAGAATAACAGTGAAACCTCATTACAGAGAATGAACGCTGCATACCTGCAAAATATCGAACAAAATGAACAGATTATTACAGGCTTGAGAGAGGAAATTGAAAAATGCAAGGAAAATAATTGTGACATAGAAAGAGAAAAATCCCTTTTGAATGAACAGTTAAATTGTGCTTTTGACGACATTTCAGAGTTAAAAAACACAAAAGAAGATGCAGTAAATATGACTAAATTATTGGAAAGCAAAACTCAGGAGATGAGTCTTCAAATTGCCAGTCTAGAGAAGTCTTTAGGAAATCAAACTTTGCTGATGACTGAAAAGGATGATTGTTTGGAAAAACTTTCAATCAGTTTCAAAGAAAGTCAAAAAATAATTCGGGATCTTGAGAGCAAGCTGCATGCATACGAGGAATCTTTATCAAAATCACAAGATGTACAAACAATAATGGAAAAGGAATTTACCGCCTCAAAACAGGATTTGAAAGAAACCAAAGAACAACTTTGCGCAACAAGAGTAAAATTGAGTGAAAATGAAAATGCCAAAAATCGATTACAAATTGAGTTGAATGAATTAATAAATTTAAGGGAGGCAGTTCCTCATTTGGAAAAAGAGAACCACAAACTGCAGTCTATTTTAGCCGAAAAAGAAGTGCAATTATTGTCTCTGCAAAGGAAATGCGATTTGAAGGAAAAAGAAACAGAATCTTTGAACCTAAAATTATCAGAGACTTTCAACATTCCTAAAACCATAGAAGAGCCAATGATTCAAATTTCTACAGAAAAACTTCTAGGAGCTGCGCATTCCAAATCTATGGAACAAATGGAACCAACCAACTCGACAAAAGATGTAAGGAACTTTGTAGACTTGCACTTTGTCTAACATTGTACTCTCAGTTGTACTTTCTTTGGTGTTGTATGCAGTTTAGTGCTATGTAGTTGTTGTAATTGTGTAATCAGTAGTAGAGACTGTCTGCATTTTTCTGTCTTTCCACTAACTTCTGTTCTTGCACATCTTTAGCTATTATGTATGCATACATTTATTTGCATGCTCGAATATAATTAATATAGATGCATGCTTTGCCTTCTTACTAACTGGTTTTAGTTTGTTTCATGCTGTTGGATTCATTTTGATTTCGTGAATATTTTTTAATGTGTATTAGTTCAGTTTTTACCTGGATATATATTTTTCTTCATTAAATCAATCAATCCTTTTGTAATATGAATATTTGCAAAGAGTTATTGAAGAGTGGTTTCGTTTATGTGTATTAGCAATTGAAAAACATCCGGGGAAATGAAATAAATTTTGAAGAGTGTAAACATTTATATTAAGTTTGTTTCTTGTGACCCCTTTATGCTAGTTTATGCATTGATCCATTACTCAGATATTAGGACCATTTATATAGCTGTATAATCAAACATATATTCATATTTAACTTTTAACATATAAGGTATATTTCTAAAATATACGGATGATAATCATGCATGGATAAATATACAGAAAACTAATGATTCAAGTATGATATTGCACTATTATCAACAGCCATTTAGAATTCTTGTATATATATATATATATATATATATATATATATATATATATATATATATATATATATATATATATCAGTGTATTGTTTCTCTGTTCTCCATAGCTTTGAAATTTTCAATTCAAATTACGATTTTTCAATATCTGATGAAAACAAATCCTATTTTGTAGGCTGATGAGACAAGGGATCATCTTCAAGAGCAAATTGTGCAGATGGAAGGATTCAAACAGGAACTTGAAGACCAGGTTAGACAACAGGAGCTAGAACTGGAGCAACTTAGGAAGGTCCAAAAGGAGGACACAAGTCAGAAGGAGGTGGCAATGAGCAAACTGCAAGAAGCTGAACATAATCTGAACGTATTACAAGCTCAGAATGAAGAACTTCAAAGGTCATTGTCAGATAGAATGGAGGAACTCAATACGAAAGAAAATGAAGTTATTGAACTTAAAAAGATTAGTGAACAGATGTCTGAAGAAAAGGATCATTCTTTTGAAGTATATCAAAAAGAAATTGAAATGTTAAAAAGTGCGACAGAAAATTTACAAGGGGAAAATTCGGCTTTAAAACAAAGAGAGAAAGATTTAACTACCACTTGTGAAAGATTTCAGTTGCAGATCAGTGAACTTGAAAAACAAAATTGTGATGTAACTGTGGAATTAAAGAAAGACAGAACCAAAATTGAAGAATCTGAGAACTTCTTTTCAGCACAAATTAAAGAATTATCTAATGAATTAAGTTTAGAGAAGGAAAAAACTCATTTATTTGAGGAGAAGATTAAAATTCTTTCAGACAATTTACATGAAGAAGAGCAGAAAAGAAAAGAAATAGAAAGAGAAATGAAGGAACTAGAAAAATCCAAAACAATTGCTGATGAACTGGCAAAATCTATGGAAGAGAAGGAAAATATTTTAACAGGCTTGATTGAACAGCATCAGTTACAAATCAGTGAACTTGAAAAACAATATCATGATGCAGCAACAGCACTACAGAAAGATGAAGTAAAGATTCAGGAAACTGAGAACTATTTTTCAACGCAAATTGAAAGCATATCTAGTGAGTTAAATGCAGAGAAGGAAAAAACACGATTTTTTGAGAGTCAGGTTGAAGCTCTATCCAACATGCTTCATCAACAAGAACAGAGAGAGAAAGGCCTTGAAAAAGATCTAGAAGAATTACAGAAATCCAAAACAATTGCTGATGAACTTGCAAGGTCTATGGAAGAGAAAGAAAACATTTTAACTGATTTGGTTGAAAATAAGAGTTCTGATGAAGAGATGTTGATGAAAAAATTATTAGAGAAAGATGAAAAAATAGCGTCACTTCTAGGAAATATGCAAGAAATGGAAGAACGTCTTAATCAGCTTGGACAGGCAGAGGAAATGCTGGAAAATTCAAAAGAAACATGTGCAAAACAAGAACAGGAAATTCAAGAATTGAAGAAGCAGTTTGAAGAAAAAGACATGAATTTCCGTAAAGCATTAGCGACAGCTAAAAAAATCAAATTTCAACTCCAACAAGCAACGAAATCAAAGGAAGATCTTGAATCTGAAATCAGTTCTCTTAGAGACCAGTTGCGGAAAAAAGATACGTTTACAGAAGACAGTGAAGAAGTAAAAAAGAATAGTGAGAGTGGAGAACAACATGTAATGGAAGACCTTCAAGAGAAAATTGTGTTGTATGAAGCAAAAATAAACGAGTTTGAAGGCAAAGATAAGGAATTAGAAGACCTATATCTGAAACTAAAAGAGTATGAGGAATTGGTTAATGCAAGTGGTAAAGAAGTAACAGCTGTGAAGGATGAACTTGAAAAAAGAGGCAGCGAGTTGAACTTGCTCCAAATGAATTTTGAGAAACATGGTGAGACTATTCATGATCTTGAAGCTGAAAATAGCAAATTAAGTGATAGGTTACAAACTGAAACAGATAGACTGACAGAAAATATTATAAAAATTGAATCTCAGAAGTCAGAGATGCATTCGCAGATTTTAACCTTAGAAGAGGAAAACACTAGTTTAAAACAATTGCTTCGAGACAAGACTGAAGAATATGTGAATTTAAAAGAACATTTTGACCAGATGACTCAAGAAATATCTTCCAAGGAAGAAATAATCACAGATTTAAAGGACAAGCTAGAAAAGACGGTAAATAACCCTGAAAAGGACAGTATCATTGATCATTTGTCTAAAAATATTAAAGAATTTGAGAATCAACTTGCAGAAAAGAATCGAGAAGTGGAAGAGTTTGAGCATAAAGGTAGTGAATTCGACGTTTTGTTGCAGTCATTACAACAAGAGGTACACAGTAAGAGTGAACTGGCAAATAATCTTCAGGAAAATCTACATACAATGGAAATAGAAAAAGGTCAATTGGAGGAATCAATTCAGTCCTATGTTAAAGATGTAGAACAGCTGAAAGACAAAGTTATTTTTCTTTCAAATTCCTTAGAGGAGAAAGAGGAGTGTTTGTCTGCATTAGTGCATTCAGTGAAAGAATGTTACGAAGAAGTAACAGGCCTTGAATGTAATATACAAAGCATTGAAGATATTCTTGTAGCCATAAAAAGCTATTCAAAGGATCAATTAAATTCATTGCAGGAACAATTAGTTAGTTTGGAAACTGCACATCAGGAATCAGTTAGATTAGCAGAACAACAAATACTCAATGATATGGAGAAACAGCTTAAAGAGGAACATGAAAGAATGCAAACTTTAGAACACAAATATAGTTCTGTGGTTGAAGAAAAATGTGTCCTTTCTAAACAGGTGGTTGATCTTGAAAGCAAAATTCATCAAGACTTCGAAGATAGAATGTCATCTAATGACCTTGCAAATGAGTTAGAAATAAAAACTAAAGAAAATGTGGAATTGATGCATCAAATACAGTCATTCAAAATGGAACTTGATGAAGCTGTCAGGGAAAAGGACAGTCTCAGAAAAACTAATGATGAAGAAAAACAACAGAACAATACTCTTATTGAAAAAATGAAAGAAATGGAAGACACCAGTCAAAATCTACATTCTCAGATTTCTGATTTAACATCTAAAATTGGAGAAATGAAAGAGCAAGAAAAAGAGAGAAATTCATCTGGTGAAGATCTACAGTTGAGATTTGAGAATCTATCACGAGAAAATAATGAATTAAAAGGTGAACTTATTAATTTGTCTGAAAAGTGTAGCACAATCGAGGAAGCAAGGGTTGAGTTACAACAGCAATACATCAATTTGCTCAAGAACAATGAGAGCTGCCTATCTGAGAACAGAGATCTGAAGGCTAAACTTGAGAATATGTCTACTGCTCCAACACAAGAAGTTTTTACTTCCTCCTCCACTAACAGGCTCTTCTCTGAGTTTGTGGAAGGAAATGATAAAAGAGAGGTAGAAAAATTAAGGCAGTCTGGAACAGACGATGCTGAAAATGAGCTGCAAGCAGCAAAAGAGAATTTAAAAACATTGGAAGAAACTCATGAAAAAGTATGTGAGAAATTGCAGGTATCTGAAGGAAAATGCGAAAAAATGCTTATCAAATTGAAAGCTTTCAAAACCAAGTGTGACAAGCTTCAAGAAGAGGTTAAGACTTTGAAAAAAGACTCTGAACATGGGCTCTCTCAGGAAAATATACTACGGATTCAAGAATTAGATGAGCAATGTAAGAAAGATTTGGAGATCAGGGAGGGATTTCTTTCTGAAATTGAGACTTTGAAAGGCACCCAGAGCAAATTGGAAACCACATTAGCAAAGCAACAAGAAACTGAAAAACAATTAAACAGCGAAATAGAGACATTTAAAGAGGAGTTATGTCAAACGCATCAGAGGTGCAAAGAAAAAGAAAGAGAATTGGAATCACTGAATAATGTTAATTCAAAACTACAAATTGAATTATCATCTTTGGAAAGCAAATTCATGGAAATGAATTTAAGGGAAAGGGAACTTACAGAAAAGATTTCCGAGTTTGAAAACAAATTGTCTGATGTGAACGATTTGAAAGTTTCCTTGGAAACTGCTGAGAGAAAGCGAGTGGAATTAGAGAGAAAACTGGAGGACAGTGTCATGCTGTGTGATTCTCTAGAGGTTGAAAATAAAAGTTTTAAAGATATTGTGGCTAAATTGAGGGAATCCAATTCTGTGCTCGAGAAAGAGAAAAGAAATACGAAAGAAAATGAAACAATGTCGAAAGGATTGTTGGATTCAATTAAAGAACTTGAAAATGAACGAGAGCAATTGCTTGAAGAGATTGATGGATTTAAAGATGATTTATCCGAACTGAAAAAAGAGAAGAATACTCTTAAAAATGAAAACGAGGCACTAAATGTTAAATTGAATGATGCTGCAATTGAGAACAAAGGAATGAGAGAGAAAATAGGTGCTATGGAGTGGAAGATTGAAGAAGTTGAATCTCTTGAGGAAGAAGTAGAAGAAGTTAGATCAGACCTTGACAAAAAGAAACAAGAGTTAAACCAAACAATTAAAGACAAGCAAACTATTCAAGAAGAATTAGAACAAATTCGGAGTAGCAAAACAAGCACATCACAACACCCTTCGGATGAAGATATTGAGTCGTTGAAACTAGAGCTGCAAAAGAAGTCAGATCAAAACAAAGACTTGGAGGATCAAATTGATTCCTTTAAAGAGGATTTGAATGATATGGCAACAGAAATTGATAGTCTAAAAGGAGAACTAACTGTTGCTTCTGTCAAGGCATCCATTTGTGATAGTTTACAAATTGAAATCGCAGCTCTGAAGTCAAAGTATGCTGCAAGTGAAGGTCCTAGCTCATCCAATGACACTGACATTGAAAAATCTCTTAAAGGAACTGAAGATCAGATCAAGTTGATAAAAGATGAACTTAATAAATCAACAATGGAGAATCAGCAATTGAAAGAAGAATTGATCTTGCTTAAAGAAAGAGAGAAGATGGCTGACCTCTTACTTAAGGAAAATAATAAACTGAAGACAGAAATAGAAACCATGCAGCAGGATGAAAGAAATTTAGTCGGAAATGTTTCTAGTGATGAAACAGAAGCATCCAACAGAGTCCAAGACCTAGAAGAGGAACTTGAACTAATTAAAGAGGAATTGAATGAGGCAATGTCTGAAAATGAAACATTGAGAAGTGGAACACAGGTTTCGGATTACAAGGCACTTTTATTCGATAAGCTCCAGCTTGAATATCAAAGCTTGAAAGAAGAGGTAGAAGTTTTAAGAAAAAACAGCTCATCAGAAATAAAGGTGGAAACCAAAGATTCGGTAGAAATGTTAAATAAACGACTTCAAGAAAGCCAGACAGAAAATGAACAGCTGAAATCTCAGCTATGTATGATGACTATTGAGTCTAAAGGAAGGAAAGAAGATGCTTCACGTGAGCGGTCAGCACCAAGTGATTTGGAGAAGGAATTAAAGGAAAAGCAAGAACAGTATGAGTCATTAGTAGAGGATCTGAATGAAGTTACTTCAGAAAATGATTCGTTAAAAGGGGAAGTAGCAAATTTAAAAGTTCAGAGCCAGATGTTTAACGAAGTTAAAAAAGAATATGAATCTTTGAATGAACAGTATAATAAAATATTGATGGAAAATACTAATATGGCAAAGAACATTGAAGAATTACACACAAAACTACAGAATAGTAGTGACCATGATGCGTTATATATAAAGGAAGAAAGAGAGCATGTGGCAAGGGAAAAAGAGACATTCATTCAGAATATAAAGCAGCTTGAGAAAAAATGTGAAGACCTTACACAGAAAAATTCAAATATCAGTCACCAATTAGTAGAAACTGAAGGAAAGATGCAGCAACTGAAGTTTGACAATGAAACAATGAGAGCTCAGTTAGGCATTTCACAAAACGGACAGATGCAGATGGAAAACTTCCATGGAGATTATCAGCGGCTCCAGGGACAGTTCTCAGCTGCCATGGATCAGAAAAACAGGGCACAAGTTGAACTCAATCAAATGGCTCACCGACTTCAACAGAGAGATGCAAGGTGTCAGCAAATGTCTCTGCAGGTATAATTTTGAAACATTAACTTTTTGAACCATTTCCATAACAATTTGATGGAAATTTTTGTTTCTTTTTACACAATTTTTGCATTTATAGGTTAGCCAGTTAGCCGAAGACAGGGGTTACCTTAATGTTCAACTTGGAAACTTATCCAAATCATTAAGAGAGAAAGAAAGTGAGCTATCATCTCTTCAACAACAGTACAGAATTTTATATCAGACTCATATGTCACTTCAGTCCAAGGTAAGTTTTGCTACTCTATTCCTTAGCTGCAGGCTTTTACAGAATTAATTAGTCTTCATTTTACGAAATATTTGATTTTTTTCTTAATTTTCCAGTTTTAAAGTAATAATTTTAACAAGTTTCAAAATGGAAAGTTTTATCATAATGTCATTTTCAGATGCTGGAATCGGAAACAAAAGCCATAAACATTGCCATGCAGCGAGCCTCCTCAGTAGAAATTACTGAAGCCTTAGAACAACAGGTTGTTCCGGAAGAAACCAGGATCACCATGTCTCCAGCTGAACCAGAAGTTGAGGAAGTTAAACAACTTCTTTCCAAGTATGTACATGTATATTCAGGTGATCAAGTTTAGACAGTTTTAGTTCTAGTGAATAGTTTCCACAAAGTAATAGTTCTGATTTGCACTGTAGGTTGCAAGAAACAGAGTTAACACGTGAGACACTACAAGACCAATACTATGCAATGGAAAAATCACTGAAGACAGAAAGAGAACAACGACAACAGCTAGAAGAGGCACTGAACACACTACAGGAGCAGGCCAGACTGGCAGCAGAGAACAAAGAAGTAGGGAAGGCTAGTGAATGTAAAAAGTGGAAAAGTACAGTAGTTATGTAAATGCCACAAGCATGGGTGGAACAGATACAGATTTTCCATGTATCTGTTATCAGTTCATTTTCAATATTTGGTTTAATCATAAAAAAGAACCTTCTCAAGCTGTTTTTAAATTAACATAATGGAATCATTGCGTAATGAATTTAAACTATTGTTAGACATTACATAATACATGCATTATATATGCACAAGTAATAATAGAAAAAAGTAAATATTTTGTATTTATGTAGTTTCAGCTCCAAATTGAAGAGGAAGATGAAAATAGAATCCTGGAAACCAGTCCAATGCTCTGTATGTTTTTTTTTTTATTACATTTTGATATTATCTTGCCTGAACAATTTAATGTTTGAAAAATTCTTGTGATTATGTTTTGTTTTTCAGTGCGAAGTGGAGCAGGATATGGTCAGAGAGTCTGCAGCTGGCTAAGAGTCCGTCGGTAAATGAATTTTGTTGCATGTTTTTTTGTGAAAAAAGTTTAGATTCATTTAACAATTAATAAAAAAAAATCCTTTTGATAATTGTTTATTGCCTACTTATTCACTGCTAGTATGTAGCAAGATTACAGGGAGATTTTGCAGAGTAGATTTCGTATTCACAGCCACTTTCTTGAGTTTCTTGGTTATAAATCCCATGAAATGCCTAATATTCATTTTATGAAACCCCTTTTGATGCTAAGCTGTAAGCATAAATATCCAATGTATATGGATGCTGATCGTTTGGTTTTGTCACATTTCCATAATGTACTGTAGGGAATACCTCTGCTTTTCCAGTCGAAGTTTAAACCGTCTGATGCGCATGCGACCTGGAATCAGGAAGATGATATGGGGATACTTTATCCTGCTGCACATTTTAGTCATTGGCTGTGTGTTTGGACTTTTCTGATGAAGATATGCAAATACAGGGAATTGAGTTTTTTTTTTTAAAATTAATTATAAACCTATTAGATATTATGCTGGGAAAAAGACAGTGCAATCATGTTTTATAAAGTGAAAGGACTAATTTTTGTAAATGGATTTTCTTTAAATTAAGTGATGTTTAAGAAATATTTTGCATAAATGTCTGTGTGTAGTTGTAAATAAATTTAGATGATGCACTAAATATTAAATTTGTGTAAATGCGAAATGTAAATATTTGATAAATAATGTAATATTTACATGTAAAGGTGACAATCTGTGTAAAATTTTGTATATAGCTTGATACTGAGAGAAAGAAAGAAATGATTAATATTTGTCATATAGTATCTTTTGAGAACATTTGATTAGTGATATATTTTGTTCCATATTGAATATTCCAGTCTCAAGATAACCAAGTTTTTTTTATTGTTGTTAATGGATTTCAGTTGTTCTTGTTTAACATTCCATTAAGTTTAGCAGTAAGTAAGTCTTAGTTAACTTTCTCCTTATTTATTTTCTCTATGGTTCTAATTAATTTTTTGAAAGTGTATGATAAATTATTATGGAAGTATGATGCAATGTTTATGTATGTGTTTTGTTTAGAAGTACTCTAAGTAGATTCATTTCTACTTGTGCATTGATGCATAACGAATTATTTTTATTCTGAAAAACCAGTTGTGACAGTATACATATCATGGTTGAGATGCGTTAAATAAATTATATTTTCCTATACAACTGCTTGCTTGAAATTTTATGCAGAAAAAGGAAAGTATGCTTAATAGGTCAGATCTCACTAATTGCGTGTACAGTAAAACTTGTCTTATCCGGGCAGTAGCAGGCAGCATTGGTCCAAAGAAATTGGTCGGATTAGACAACATTCCGGATTAGACAACATTTTACTGCAAGGGACTTTTACATCGTATTGTACAAGATTTTGGATTACACAACATCCGGATTAGACAAGTTTCACTGTAATACAAATTGGAACCATATACAAATGAGTGAAATTGGTCTTTCATTGACACTTAAAGTTTGTTCATTTCATCAACAAAATGAATATTTTAGGCTATTCTTTAGCTTTTTGGATGGAGGACAACATATGATCTAAACTGATTTTCAATGGTAACACTGGTCGATTATATTGTTCCAATACTTCTTTAAGATGGTTTAAGCTAATAGACTCTGTTTTCTTTTTTTTCCTTATGAATTCTAATGCCGCGTTATAACCAGAATTAAATTATAAGAAGTTGAAAAAAATAATAGTAAGTCGGTGCTTTTTTTATGGCATCGAGCTCTTGAGCTCGAATGCCATGTAGTGGGCGACCAAACTTTACGCGACCGAATGTGTCAGTCCATGCATCCGCAAAAGAAAATACCAATAACAATGCATCGCTTTCTTTGAAAATATTCACAGTGAATAATAGCTTGAAAATAAAATTGCATCAATTATATCTACAAATAATTTATCACATAACAAAGATACCCTGGTTTAATTTTTATTTTCACACAAGAAAAACGTGACAGTTCTTGCGGATGAATTTCTAAAGAAAGGCTATGTTAAATGACATGAATAAAGTTTACGAAGGAGAACCATGTATAAACACAAACAACTTATATTAATAGCGGTAAAATAACCACAATATTAAATTAACACGAATGCTAGAAGACTAATAGGACTGAATTTCCAAATGTAAACCTTACTTTTACAATCTTATAACCAATTTTATCATAAAAACTGAAGTTATTACTGTATTTCACCAATTCTTCCATATCGCACCATATAGGCCTACCACGCCCGATCATATCTCGGTCGTAGTCGCAACTGAGCGAGTTACGGTTGTTGTTTAGATGCACTTAAACAATGCTTAGACATTGACAATTAGAAAAATATTCATATAAATTCATTAAATCCTTGATATTTCTTTAATTGACTGAAAAAAGATGAACTTGATATCCAGCATGAACATGTTCGACGGTGTCTAGTCAATTCGAACCCTGCTCTATTCGGACCATGGCATAATGCCCCAGACTGTAAATTTGACATTTGTTTCAAAACTGAACATTTTTATTAGTCAATTATTTTACCATCTGCTATCTATAAATTAAAAAAAAAATGTTTTGAAATTCTTTTTCGTGTTCGATGCCATTGAAGCCTTTCAGGCTTTTGATTTCTTTCTCTCAACAACAAAGAACCCAGATAGCAAGCTAACATTGGGCCAACGTTGGGCCAACGTCATCGGTTACATTGGGCCAATGTTGGCAAATGACATTGGCCCAATGTAAGTTTGCTCATCGGCCCAATATTGGCCCGATATGTTGGGCCAACGTTGGCCCAATGTAAAGTGTGATTCTACAGATATTGGTCCAACATTGAGCCAACATTGGCCCAATGAATGCGACATTGGGTCAATGTTGGGCCAACGTCATTAATTACATTGGGCCAACGTTGGCAAATGACATTGGCCCAATGTCAGTTTGCTCATCGGTCCAATGTTGGCCCGATATATTGGACCAACATTGGCCTAATGTGTAAGTCATACACACATTAAATTGTTACAAATCTGCAAATGAACTAATCCGATCGTCTCTACAATAAAAAAAATCTACCTCCAATCCTATACTTGAAAATGTATTGAAGTTAGCTAAAATAAATAAAAAATAATATCAGGCTTGTTTAACTTCTTATATTTAATCAGAACAAAATAAATTATTAGTGATGGAATTAATTGTTTCTACACAAGGGAATTAAGCAATTGAAAGTATGAAATAACAAATGTATTTTGAATATAATTAAAACAATAAATAATTTTGCCCATTTTTAAGATTAAAATATGTATCTAGAATTAATTTCCAACCTTTTCCACTTATTGTTACTATATACACTTTTTTCGCAAATTCAATCGTTAACAGGTTAATAACCAATCACTGTCCTCTGTTTCATTTTTGAACGCATTTCCTTCTTTCTTTCCCTGTCTGTTCTCATTCTTCCTTCATGATCACATGCAGTGGAATTGCTAATTTCCATAGGAATTTATTTGGCACACAAGCAGTTATTTCGAACAGCTCCTTTTAAATAAATAAATGTTAAATCCATTTAGCAAATCTCAAAATAAAGAGAAATGCTGAAAACTAAAAGTAAAGTCGTACTTTATACAAGTTCATAGTAATTCATTCCTTGCATTAGAAACTATTAATACAATGGATATTTTAATTATTTTGTATTTTTTTTTAAATTAGTAATATTATTATATTTTTCTACATTTAGTAGCAATGTACGACTATAGCATTTTTCTGGGGGAAAACTGAGCACGTATTTTTATTACTTACTTTTTTAAAATCCCCATCATCTTTGAAAAGCTGGTTTTCCTCATTTGCCCATCCAATGGAATTCCTTGCAATTTTGTCAGAGAACATTGGCAGCAAATGCCCTCCTCTTTATTCACCAAGTTATTTCCACCAATTAAATAGAATGAGAATTTTAATCTATAAAGAAGAGATTTGCTTTCCTTTAAAGCACCAAGTAATAACTTCTAGATTTCTTTTCTTAACATTTGGTAGAAAATATATGACAGAATTTTATAGATGTCTAAATGATTATGAAACTGGCCCAGCCAAACTTTCAAAGATATATATTCAAAAAAATAAAATTTATGAATCCAAATGTAGTTGGAATGTGGACGTGATTATATATTTTCCTTTGTTACAGTCCCGGTTGATGAACTTAATTTACCATTTTTCAAAAATTAAGCTCAAGAGCTGTTAACCGTGTACAAATTAGATTTTAATGGTAACAATGATAGGTTTTATTTTATGATTTATACATCATGCAGAAATGGCACAGTGATTAGCAACTGAACTAGTTACATAAAACTTAAACAAGCTTAGAAAAAAGATAAAGATTACATTTAGCATGCTTAGATAAACAAACTTTGCATTTTGTGCATTGAAATCTGAAATAATTTGAGGTAAATGGTACTTACATTTCTGTATATGTGAAATGTCTTGACACAGCTCTAAAACTCCACACAAAGAACACACATTTCAAATTTAAGCTTTCTTTTTTACATAACACCTTCAACGTTCTTCTGTAGGAAACCTCCGTGATTAAAGTGTTGGACGTGCTAAAAAGATGCAGATTTGACCATCCCGTCCTATCAGATATCACGATTACCATAGAAACTGACCAGTCTCACGCTGTGAAAACCCCTGTCCTAATTGCTTGGTCAGAAAATGTGCTCTTATCTTGGAATATGCTCCCTAAACCCAACACTTTAGAAAAATTATGTAATGGGAGTCTTTATATAGTGTGTTCGTCTTATATTTTCATTTTATTTCTTCTTTTTTTTTGACATGTAAGTTAATTTAGATTTATGCATAATTGAATAAATTTTTATGTGATTCTCAAAAAACATTTCATTTATTACTAAGTTTAAAGATTTAAACACATTTTACGTAAAAAAGCTTGATACATCACCATGCATGTTTATTAAGAACACACGGTATGTGTAACATTAAATACATATAATTAACCATTTTTTTATCTTTTACTTTCACTCTCACTCTCTCTCTCTCTCTCTCTCTTTGTCTTTGTCCGATTATATAAAGAACACTTCACCCTGTTCCCTGAATTCTGACTTCACCCCAACGTTGGCTCAACCTTGTTTACCCAACAAAATGTATCAAAATAGGGACGTAATTTACAATGTTGGCCCAACGTTGGGTCAACGTTGTACTCCCAACAAACTCCGTCAACTTAGTGGTGACAAGCTAACAACAGTGGCCCAACGTTGGACCAACGTTGTGTCCCCAACCAACCTCGGCTTCTGAGTAAAATAGTGTTATCTTGACATTGGCCCAACGTTGGGCCAACGTTGTACTACCAACAAACTCCGTAAACTTAGTGGTGACAAGCTAACAACAGTGGCCCAACGTTGGGCCAACGTTGTGTCCCCAACCAACCTCGGCTTCTGAGTAAAATAGTGTTATCTTGACATTGGCCCAACGTTGGGCCAACGTTGTACTACCAACAAACTCCGTAAACTTAGTGGTGACAATCTAACAACAGTGGCCCAACGTTGGGCCAACGTTGTGTCCCCAACCAACCTCGGCTTCTGAGTAAAGTAGTGTTATGTTGACATTGGCCCAACGTCGGGCCAACGTTGTACACCCAACGCCAACCATCGGCCAACGGTCCAACCATTAGCCAACGTTGGGCCAACGTAGTCATGCTATCTGGGAATGAGAAACATTGCAACTTACCTTTATACATCCACGTTTTCTAAAATTTTGGGTTGCGAGGGACGTACTGAGTGTGATGCATACGGATTCGATTTTTTCAGACAGCAAATCAACTGTGTGAGCTGTGGTTAATGCATCCTCTTTACTTCAAAACCCATGGATTCTTTGATGGAATTTTCCTGAGGATAGCACTTTGAAGTGAAATGTTTTTCACAAAGCACGGAATGCTTGCTATTTTACTGAATTGAAAGCTTAAACCCTCTAATCCTTTCTTTATGACCTTGTGAAAATTTAATGGCATCGTTAAAAATCTTCTCGTCGCCCGCGTGGCGCAGTGAT